TTTGGCAGGTCCGGGCTGGGGATTCGAACCCGCCACCTTAGGTGTACGTGGCTGGCACCTTAGCCGGTTGAGCTACAGGCGCCGAGCCTAGACTCAGGTTTAAAACTGATAAATCAAAAATTGAAACTTACACATTCTTTTTAGAACAATTTTTTTTACCTGTAAAATAGCCACTTCATTACGGAGTTGACTTTCTTGTTTTGTAGGGAATCTCATCTTATCAATTACTTTAATAGCCACATCCCTTCCAGTCTTTCTATGTTTTCCTATTAATAAAAGAAAAGAAGCAAACTGATAGCTCACATATAATTTGAAAGCTTTGTTAGGAAAATGTTTACAAGCTGAAATTTGTATATATTTACTCTTGTTTTTTTTTCTTTTGGCTCATTTTGTTTCTTCTCTACATGAATCATATACCCTCCCCCCGCAAGAAAGGAAGTTCCATTAAGAAATAGCAGAAAATTTGAAAGAATTTATGTGCTGGAAAGTAATCTACTTTGTTAAATAAACTACCCTGACCTAGTCTTTAGAAAGACTGTCAAAATAGAAACAACTGTACTAAAGAATTAATTTTATTCTAGGCCTACTGAATCAGCATAGTGATTTAACCACATATTCCCCAAACTCTGAGTTCTTATAATTTAGAATCTTGATACAAAAGATATACTAACAGCAAGTCTGCAATAAATAGCCATTTTCTCATTAATTAATTCAAAATAATTGGTTGGGTTATTTTGTACCCAGTAAGTACAAGGCATTGTTTTAAATGCTATAGATTAAGAGGTGAAAATGGCAGGTATATTTTGGTATTTGTTCCCTTAAGATGTATATGACTCACTGTTCTCTATATAGCTATTTACCTGAAAATAAATCAGACCTGTCTCAAGGACATAATCATAAAAGTCTGACCACTTGAAAAGACTAGACAAATTCATACATATTTGGTAAGAATTTAAAGGTAGACAGACCAGTTCTCTGTCCTTCCAATGAGAAGAGGTCCTCCAGAGATGTCATTAGTCTTAAAACTGACAAATTTGAAGTTCTAAGCCACAGATTTTATATACACATGTGAAATCAACATATTTTATGGGTGACTATTATATGTCAGACATAATGCTAGGTATTAGGAATACAAAGACAATTTTTCTCAGTCTATCTTCAAATATAGTTCAGTAGGAAGACTAAACCCAATATACCGTAGATACTATCATAACGCAGAGGTATGTACGTTAGGAGTAAGAGTACCAAGGAGGAACAATCTGTTTCATCTGATGGAGAGGTAGGGATGGAGACAAATTCTTCATGGAGGAAGCCCTTTAGTTGAGACTTGAAGTATGAATAAATGTTCACTAGAGGGACAAAGGGATGGAGAAGGAGCAGAGGCAAAGGTATGGAGGTGTGCGAGTATGACTGCAAGACAGAAAGCACGAGGGTGTTTCAATTAGACAGGAGGCTAGAGAAGCAAAGTGAAATCATAGCAGCCTTCTATCTTCTGCTAGGAAAACTGGCAATGCATGTGTAGACAACCACTTAAGGGCTCCAGGTGAGGTAATACTAATATTAGATGTGAGTTTTCTGAAAAATTCACTCCAAGAGTGGTGTGGAAAGAAGGCAAAGCTGAAGGCAGAAAGGCCAGTGAGGAGACCAGCCTTGGCAAGAGATTAAAAGGTTTAACATTTCTTTTGTATCTTGGATTATAGTTTATCAAGTACTTTTATATATATTAGGTTTATATGTATTTAATATTTGAAATCCTATAATCTATGCAGGTCAGGTTTTATTAGCTCCACTAAACAGATGAAGATACTAATGTGCAGTAAGATTAAATGATTTCATCAATATCATAAGTCACAGAGTTGTATAAGCTTTTAGCTCTTCAGTAAGGTGACCAGATTTTAACATTGGTAAAGCGGGACACCACTGGGGGGTGGGGGTCTGGGGGGTGGGGCCTGACAACAATGCAAACTTTGATAAGCAGTTCTTGATAATCAGTTCTCAACAATTATTTGTTATTATTAAAGTTTAACATTATAAAATTAATAAAAATAATATAAAATGCATATCCTGGCGAAATAGCCACATGGCAGCTGAAAACCATACATTCCATTCCTGTTCTCCCATGTTCCCTAATTCTTTCCAAAAATTGGGGCTTTTTTAAATGCTGCAGGATGCAAGACAAATTGTTAAAAATCAGGACTGTCCCACCAAAAGTGGGACATCTGGTCACCTTACTCTAGGGAGGGGGGGCTACTTGTTTGTTCTAGACAGCTTGGCTCCTTTTGAGCTAATTGTCCTTGCCTAGAAGCAAAGGAGGGAGCCAGTCTCCTTCTGATACCTTGCCCAGGAGGGGAGTAGGGAGTTTACATTAGCCTTTTCATTTCCAAATGAAGTTACATTAACCTCTTCATTCCCAAATGGAGTTACATAAACCTTTTCAGCAGCTGAAAACTGTGTATTCCCTTCCCATTCTCCTGCTGTTCCCTAACTTGTCATGCATTCTTTCCAAAAATCCGGACTTTTTTAAAACACCAGGGGACATGGGACAAATTGTTAAAAATCGGGACTGTCCCGCCAAAAGTGGGACGTCTGGTCAACTTACTCTTCAGGTTCCATAGAACAATCATGCCAACAGGGACAAATGTTGCCAATTGTGTCAGAATATACTTCAATGAACAAAGCCCTCACAACCCAACCTGAAGTTGAAATCATTTTTATCCCCACACAAACATCTTTATGAGCTATAAGAAGAGATAAAAGTAAGACTATTGTAAAACAAATTTTATGATTCTTTGTCACTTTTTTAAGTTTACAGTTGAAATTAAGGAATGAATAATCAGTTACAGTGTAAAGGACTTAGCTGAAAGGATACAGCTTTTTCAAAGTTTTATCAAGCAAAAGTTCACTTGACAAAACTGTTAGATAACAAAGTAGTTGGTATATGTTTTAATTTCCCCAATTTTTCTATAATATATATATAATATACAAAAGGCTACAGTCGCTCACCTCCATAAACGATGCCAAACTGTCCTGAACCAAGCACCTCGTCTGCAAAGATCTGGTAAACAGTACTGATGTCCTATCAGGAAAAAGGAAGCAGTATTATTCACCTGTATAAAACAATGTCAACATGTCCACCTCTCTTCATTCAAATACTTAAATACATTTCTTTTTTATGTTAGAGGCAACTAATTTTCATAAAGTACAAATTGTTTTATGAACTTAGACTTATATGTTCTGGAAAAGGTTAAGCCCAAATTTTATACTATGGTTATTAATGTACAACTATAAATGTATTCTACAAGAAGACTTTCAGGAGAAAATGCTTTTAATTTAAAACTTCGTCAATCTTTCCTTCCTGCTCTCCCCCTCCCTTTTTTTTTTTTTTTTTTAAACTTTGTGATGTTCCTGTCAGAATATTCATGCACTAATTGGGGATGTTTAGTGTTAAGAGTTTGATGAAAGAAAAAGTGGAGCTCCACTTAGTAGACCCACAGTTAAAGACAAAGCAATTTTGGAACTCTTCTTCTGGAATGGCCATCAGAGCTGTTGTACAAGGCCTAACAATACAGTTCACAAACTCATCCCAGTATAAGTGCTTTGTAGGGTAGACTAGCTGTATGTGTCAATACATAGCTTCCTAAGGGGAATACTTTGAAGGTGACCACAGTGATATTTATTTTTAAGTTCCTGCGGGATCAAAGTTGAACTGTCATGTTTTGGTATTCTTTCTCTCCCCCAGACTATGGTATCTATTCTACCTCCTACCAGGACAAGAGACTCAAAGATGGTATCATTGACATTTTCTACCTCCCACAGCACTACTAGATACCCAGCCTTTATTGCAATCTTAGAAATTCCAAACTCTGTAAGTTGACCATGCAAGGGACTGTAACAAATATAGGAAACTACTATACTGATAGGTACATGTTTACATTCTTCTACAGTTTTTATTAGAGAATATCATGCAAAATCACACATAATCAAAACACAGTAAAATCATACATCCAGTATCATAGAAAATCAATACATTTTCTGTATTCTTATGGTTTAATCATTCATTCTGAAAAAAGAGTCAACCTTGGTCTAAAGAAAGTACTTTCAACACTGGCTACACCACTCCCCAAACCTGGGCATTTTTCCACTTCAAATGACTTTAACTACTTTATCAGATGCCTGACATCTTCTTAATTTTGGAGTCTCTACAGTTTGTCATCCTCACTTGCTTCTGCCACTTCCTTAGCTGCTTCATGCACTTTTATGTGTCTGTACTTAGGTCAATATTGCTTGGAAAACTGCTTCTGGATCAGGTTAATTACAGGTTGCCACCTCATCATCCATTGCAATAAAACCTTCAAAATCTACTACTTCAAATTTCACCATGAGAGAATGACTCTCTGATGAGACCAAAACATTATGTTCTTGGCCTGTGACAAAGCCAACTTTCTTGAAACACTGTATTGATTCTCGTTCAACTTCATTCCAAGCAGAACTGATCCAGAGGACAACATTCAGAGCATTAATGATGCAGTGAATGAAGCTGCTTCCACAGGTAGACCCATAGGTTTGTGTTTTAGTAATTACTCACTGTAGGAGCTGGGCTTGGTAGTGCATTTTAAATGTTTTGGATGATGCCTTGGTCAAAAGGTTGGATTTCTGAGGTCATGTCTGGAGGCAGAAATTTCAGTGTCACATTAGTGAGATGATTTACTTGCAGGTGGCCAGGTTAGTAGTACTGTTAGTAGAATAGACCATTTCTTCTTCAATTCTTGGTTGATACATCTTACCTACTCCTCAAAATAGGGTACCAGTCATCCATGTGCATTTGTTTGACCTCCAAACAACAGGGAGCTCTTTGGGCTTCAGGTTCCTGAATGCACGTGAATTTGCCAATTCACGATTCTCCAAAGGTTCCCCTCTGGTTGAGCTAGAGCAAAGTAGAAATGTGGAACGTTCTTTGGAAAGTTTTTCACTCTTACATTTGTCACCCTTAACGACGAGGTTCCTATCAGACATTGCCTTGAAAAAGAGTATGCACTTGTCAGCATTAAAGATGTTGTCATCTTTGAAGCCTTTGGTGAAATCTGGGGACTTTCTGATGAATTCTCCCATAACTTCTAATGGAACTTCTTTAGAGGCACCATACAAGACTTTCTGGAAAGGCTCATGTCACAGTTTAAATTTCTCACATGATGCTTGGAAATCTACCACCCTGAATTTCTGTGTGAATATTTTAGCAACTTCCTGGATTATCAGCCTGGAGATTTGGGCATTAACTATTCTCATTTGTTTGAACCAGCTTCATGTGGTTTCACTAACTTCACCAAGAGAAGTTTTCCTCTTTTTTCACTGTAGATCTTTGTTTTCTTCACCATATCTCTTCAAATACTCATGTTTATGTTTTTTGATATTGCTAACTACAGTCTTGCTAACACCAAAATGTTCTGCTGCCTTTCTTTGGTTGCTGCTTTCCAGAAAATGTAGAAGATCAACCTTTTTCTTCAATGTCGGCTCTTTTGAGTTCTTAGTTCTTTTCTTTGGGCCATCATGTCTTAATTAACTATAAAATTGTTCACTAATTGTAGGATGTACCTACAACTCAGAACAGCCCTTCATGCTGAAAATCTTCCACAGCACATGATAAACAAGAGGATATTAGGTCTAATCCAACACATGGTAATAATAAGACATGAAATACTAATGGAAAAATAATACATCTAAGGGGCAAAGCCCAAACCTTCTACTTCTTGGTGTAGAGTAGATTCAACTGGATATAGAGGGTAAATGAATATCATGTGTCACAGTTTAAGTGGTGAAGATGCAACATACAGAGGTTAGTGTTCTACTGAGTACATGTGGTGCATGTCCAGTCTGTGAAAATTAGGTCAACGTAAGGAGGTGGTCAACTAGGGAGGTTCTACTGTATTTATATGTTAGAGAACTATAATAGTTGGATGCCCCAAGAAGATGAGATTTTTATCAGAGAAATTATATATAGCTAGTGAGCAATTTTCTGAATTCTTTTTCTAGCCCTTTTTCCTTCTAATACAAGGGTTGGCAACTTCAGCTTGTGAGCCAAATCTAGCCTGCTGCCTCTTTCTGCATGGCACTGATCTAAGAATGGTCTTTGAAGTACTGGACAAATCAAAGTACTTTGTGACGTGATTATTGTATGAAATTCGAATTTCAGCATTCATAAATAAAGTTTTATTGGAACATAATCATACTCATTCATTAATGTATTGCCTATGGCTGCTTTCTTGCTACAAATGCAGAGTTGAGTAGTTGTATATGGTTTGCAAAGCCTAACGTATTTACTATTTAGCTCTTTAAAGGAAGTTTGCTCGTATCTGTTATAAAACCCTACATATACAGATAAATTTAACTTATTTACTTTTCCTTAAAAGTATCACATTTCCTCCTTCCCTCTATTTGTTCATCCTGTTATCTGTACTTGCGTGAAATGTTGTTTCCCAATCCTCAACCCTTTGGCACTTCTGCCAAAAATCCATTTCATCTTTTAGGAATAGCTCAAATTCCACTTCCTTTAGGAAGCTTTCCCTGATGACCCAGTAAGAAGTGACTCTGAACTCTTTGAATTTGTCTATCATTTTGTAATATCTGTTGTCATTTTTTCTAATAAAAAGTTAACTTCATTTATGTAATTTTAAAAATCTGCCTTAGTTTTCCTCCATAAAGCAGAAGTCCTTAGGGAAGTTATCACCCAAAAAGTCTAGCCTAGTATCTTCAGGCAAATTGCTTAATACTCTGGGCTATGAGCATTTCTCTAACAAGATTGATTTTATTTTCCTAACTTCAATCACCTACTTTGTACATATCAGCTTTGATAAATACTTACCACATTCTCCTGGATCTGACAATTAGACACAGAGATGCTGGTTGACAAATCTTCTGTAAAATTTAAGAATGATGTATAAGAAAAGAACAAAACTATTATAACAATATTAATATCTACTGACATGTCAAAATCCATGGGATATCATACTGAAAAAACAGATGAGCATGCAGTTAATATAACACAATTGTGTACATTAGATTGGTTAAGTAAAATTATGACACATCTATAGAATTCCATCTAAACATTAAATAAATGATACAAATCTAGAAAGCTAGCCATGACATATTATTGAGTTAAAAATGGAAGTTGAAGGGCAGCAGTGCTTAAATTAAAAGCAAAAATAAAAATATGACTACTTCTGGCTCGGCGCCTATAGCTCAACCAGCTAAGGCGCCAGCCACGTACACCTAAGGTGGCGGGTTCGAATCCCCAGCCTGGACCCGCCAAACAACAATGACGGCTGCAACCAAAAAATAGCCAGGCGTTGTGGCGGGCGCCTGTGGTCCCAGCTACTTGGGAGGCAGAGGCAGGAGACTCGCTTGAGCCCAGGAGTTGGAGGTTGCTGTGAGCTGTAATGCCATGGCACTCTACCCAGGGGGACAGCTTGAGGCTCTGTCTCAAAAAAAAAAAAAAAAAAAAAATGACTACTTCTAATAAGTGGAGTTGGGAAAAAAGGATTTTAATTTATATACACGCCTATACTGCTTGCGCTTTTTTTTTTTTTTTGAGACCAAGTCTCAAGTTGTCACCCTGGGTAGAATGCCGTGGCATCACAGTTCACTGCAAACCTCACAACACCCAGCCATTTTTTGTCTCAGTTGTCATTGTTGTTTAGCAGACCTGGGCTGGGTTTGAACCTGCCAGCTGGTGCCCTACCCACTGGGCTACTGGGCTATGGGTGCTGCCACACTTGTATTTTTTATAACATAAAAAGCATGCATTACTTTCATTAAAATATTAAAAATTAGGTAAACCTTTATACTGACATTAAAATATATGTTGTATATTTAAATAGTGGATAAAAGCAAGCTGCAAAAAGTACACAGAGAGTATGATCCCATTCTCTAAAAAAAGAAAATTTAGCAGATAATATAGGCTTCCCTTACCATAGTTCCTTCTTAAATCAAGACATATATACGAAACTGTTAATAATTTTTTGAGGGGAGAAATATAGGGTTAGAGTTATATGTATATAGCAAGGACTTTCTCATTTTATATTACATATTTCTGTAAAGTTGAAATGTTATATTACTTTGGTAAGCAAAGAAAATAACTGACAAGAAAAAGAAAAGGGAAACATGAAAGTAAGCAAGAGAATGAAAATCAAACATCTAAAATCTGAGACAATTCAAAGAAACTGAGATAGGAAGTTTCCTTTACAATCTCAAATATAAAAACATAAAACATCGTTAATAATATAAGCAAACTATATATCAAAACAATACGACTATCAAAATATATATTTTAAAATATTAAATCACCAGAAAAAAATTTCTTTTTCTTTGAGATACAGTCTCACTATGTTGCCCTCAGTAGAATGTCGTGGCATCATTTCATAGCAACTTCAAACTCTTGGGCTCAAGCCAAGTTCTTGCCTCAGCCTCCTGAGTAGGTGGGACTACAGGCACCTGCTACTATGCCCAATGATTTTTAGAGATGAGGTCTCCTTCTTGCTCAGGCTGGTCTTGAACTCCTGACCTCAAGCAATCCTCCTGTCTTGGCCTTCCAGGGTGCTAGGATTACAGGTGTGAGCCACTATGCCCAGCCCCAATTTTTTTTTTTTTTTTAATTGAGACAGTCTTAACTCTGTTGACCTGGGTAGAGTGCCAGGGTGTCATAGCTCATAGCAAACTCAACCTCTTGGCTCAAACAAATCCTCTTGCCTCAGCCTCCCCAGTAGTTGGGAAAACACATGCCGCCATGACACCTGTCTACAAACTATTTCAAAGAATTCAAATTTTAAATACCAATAATTAAGAGACTGCCCAACATCAAAAAAAAAAAAAAATGCATGTGTCTAAAACTGCTTTTCAGTAGTTCCAGTTTCCCAGTTTAAGTTACAGTACTGATTTTCTTTCAAAGGCTTCCACTATCTAGCTCCATCCAGTTTTAATTTCTCACACTTCCCAGGAGAATCTTATTCTATATCGTAAAAAGGACAACAATGACAACACAGTAATCTTATCATTTAACGTGCTAGGCACTACACTAAGTGCATTATATGCATTTATTATTCTTCCCACTTTAGATTAGAGAACTGTAGCGTCCAAGATCACATAGCTAGTAAGTTACAGAACTGGGCTTTCATCCTCCAGAATTTTCACTCTTTAATTCTCTTATAATTTGGCCTTTAGATAAGACTCTTAACCCTAGGGAACAGGTCTATGGATGGGCTTGAGAGGGTCTCTAAACCCCTGAAAACTATATATTAAAAAATATGTAAATGCTCATATTATTTTCTGAGTAAACACCCCTTGGCTTTAAATAGAATGTTGCAGAGTTTTGTCTAATCCCCTCAACTTAATGAACCATTGTGAAGGCTCAGCACCTGTAGCTCAAATGGCTAAGTCACCAGCCACATACACCAGAGCTGGTGGGTTTGAATCCAGCCCCAGCCCACCAAACAGTGACAAGTATAACCAAAAATAGCCAGGTGTTGTGTGTTGTGGTGGACACCTGTAGTCCCAGCTACTTGGGAGGCTGAGGCAAGAGGATCACTTAAGCCCAAGAGTTTGAGCTTGCTGTGAACAGTGACGCCACAGCACTCTACCCAGGACGACAGCTTGAGACTCTGTCTCAAAAAAAAAAAAAAGAACCACTGTGAAATATTCATCTACTCCCCCAAATTAGTAATAAACATCAAATATTTACATGGTCATGACCCTCATCTCTTTTTCCTCAACTATAGTATTACCCCTCCAAACCTCTCATTCAACTCTGCCTATGCAATTCCTATCTGATGTCCAAAATCCAAATCAGGTCTTGCTTACTCTTCCTATCCATATCTGAGTTCTCTGAGTAATGTACTATTTATTTTTGCACTACACTGCTTTATGCTACTATCTAAACATATGTCACATCTCCCTAAAGAGTTCTTACAATTTCCATACTGCTTTTGTATTCTAGCTTAAAGTCCTGCATAATGCCCAGAAAAGTTGCACAAAATAATACAGCTAAAGTGGAATGAACTATATTTAACTGGTTGATACTTATTTCAATTTAAATATATTTCTCTAATGAATTAATTTTGTTTCCCCATAAACAACACAATGCGAATGGGGGGAAAGTAGTATTATATTATGACCTTCTGATTGTCAACTGTTCACTTGAACCTTTATCAAATTTAGGTTTAACTATATAAACTGTGTTGGTATAGAACATGCCTTTCAATAATTTTTTAATATTTTGGAATGTTTTAATATAGTATGATGTGAACTTTTAATACTTTATTACTTGTTTATAACCCATGATGAAATAAAATTATCACCAGTAGTACACTCAATCCGATGAGACTTCATGAATGCTAAGGACTGTTCTGTACCTTAAAGGTTCTTTTTCATTTAATCCTGATAACCCTAAAAGTAGGTACTATTGCAGAGAAGTAAAGTACTTGCCCAAGATCATGTAAGAGGCTGACAGACCCAAGAATTTAATGCAGAGAGACTGACTTTGCAGCTCAGGTCTGGGCACGGGATGTACACGATATATACTATAGTCAAAATAATTTTACAGAAGAATTAACTAATGGTATTGGTTTCTAAAGACAAAACTTAAGATGACACCGAAAATACATAAAACACAACCATGTCCACAAAATGCTTAAGAACCAAAGAGAAGAAAAAGCCATCAAAAAAGCTTATTGCTTACTGTGATCTTTCCCTTGCCCTGGAGAGGTGCAAACACTTGCTTGAGGGGTAACAGGCATGAGAGCTTGGCGAATTGCCTTTTCCCAGCTCTGGGCCACATCAAGTCCAACTCCAGTGGCAGCAAGAGCAGGACTGGGAGAGCTGTCCCCATTGTTCTCACCAACAAAGTATACCATAGTATCAGTGATGATTTCAAAACAGTGTGGGTTGCTGCCTTGTGAAATATTTGTGAAATCTCGTGGTGAAGATATGCGGAGAATTTCTGAAAGTGGAATTTCCTGAAGTAAAAAATTAAGTATTGGAAAATATGAATACATTTTTATTTTTACTTTTAGATACACTACAAAATCAAAAATGTGCATTTCCACAAATGTCACTAAGACAAACACAAGTATGGAGTATACAGAACACATAGTCAAGTCTTATGATAGTGTCTGCCTTGAGTGATTTCAATGTCAAGCAATGCCAGAGGTGAAGAATGGAGCAGATGACTAAGCCGATGATTCGGGCCTGTAGCACATCACTACGATGCAAACAGGAGAGGACTTAGAAGGATAAGTTGCTACTATATCCAACACCTGTCACTTCCAATTGTCATTAAATTCACTCTACAACTCCTTATCTAGGGGCTACAGTCTGAAAGACATAACTACAAAGTAAGTAACAAGCAGAAATAATGGCAGAAAAGCAAAATCTTGAGTTGGTATAGGTTGTTTAAACATTTCATTGTGATACCGTCCCTTCAAGTATACTGTAACAATAATTTGTGTTTAGTTCACCTCCTAAGGCAAAAAACATATTTTTAAAAAACCCCACCAGCTCAAAGCAAATCATTAGTTCCCATTCTCTTTCTTACTGCGCTACTGCTATACTTATAATCTTCTTTGGTGCCACAGTGTATGAAAGCAAAAAGGGAGACAAGCCAAGCAAGATTGTAAAAAGGAAATGAAGGGCCAAAATAAGCAATTGGGAACTGGACGCTCAAGTAATGTGGAAGATGGGAGAAACACCAAATACCTTCTTGCCCTGATAGGCAATGATCACGGGACGTTCTAAGCAATCCAGCCTAAATCACATTATCTAGAAGGAAAGCAGCAACAAGCTGAGGCAAGCCAAAAACAATCTTTGGTAGGACTGCCATGGAGGGTTGGGGAATAGTTGCTTCAACAAGGAACTTAACAGTGATTTTTTCTCTTTTTTTAAAGTGAGACAGAGTCTCACTTTATCGCCCTTGGTAGAGTGCCATGGCGTCACACAGCTCACAGCACCTCCAACTCTTGGGCTTAGGCAATTCTCTTGCCTCAGCCTCCCAAGTAGCTTGGACTATAGGTGTTGTGGTAGTTGTCATCATTGCTTAGCAGGTACAGGCCAGGTTTGAGCCCACCAGCCTGGGTATATGTAGCTGGCACCCTAGCTGCTAAGCTACAGTTGCTGAGCCCTTAACAGTGATTTCTATAAGTCATATTAGGCCCCATCGTAATAGGTATATTCAAATATAACAATTAAGGACTATTATTCAAATATATTTGAAAAACATACAGTATTTTAATGTCTACATATATATTTTTTGAGACAGACTCTCACTATGTTGCCCTGGGTACAGTGCTGTTGCATCACAGTTCACAGCAACCTTAAACTCTTGGGCTTAAATCATTCTCTTGCCTCAGCCTACCAAGAAGCTGGGACTACAGGAGCCCGCCACAACGTTCAGCTATGTTTTTTTTGTTGTTGCAGCTGTCATTGTTGTTTAGCAGGCCTAGGCTGGGTTCAAACTAGTCAGCCTGGGTGTATGTGGCCGGTGTCCTACCCACTGAGCTATGGGTGCCGCCTAATATCTATATTTTTAAAATGTAAAATCATTACCTTATAATACTTTGATCCAGATTCATTTTGAAATAATGTTAGACATTTACTGTCAAGTCTCCAATAATGCCTCTTTCTCTGTAAAATAAAGATCACAAAGCTGTGAAGTTTTAAAATCATGATTCCTCTGAAGTACCCATACTTCCCTTTTCATTTCCATTTGTATGTTTGTATTTGTGACTGTTTAAAATTCATGAGGTTCAAAATTCTGACAACATAAGGATACCCAGTGAAAAGAAATCATTCCCACCATCACTCATACTCCACAACTCACCTTTATTCTAGGCAAGCAATGGCATTAGATTTTTGTGGAGCTTTTTAGAGAATTTTATGCATGCACACATAAATACATCTATTATGCACATACATAGATATATATACACACACATAAATATGTAATTTACCCACAGGCTATATTTCTAGAAGTTACCCTGCTGGATCAAAAGGTATGTGCATATAAAATTGTTTGATAGTATTCAATTACTCTACACAAAAGTAGACTCAGTATATAGTCTCATTGGTAACATGATAGTACCTATTTACTCACACCCTCACTAATGCAGTATTGTTATCAACTTTTTGATCTTTGCTATACTGAAAAACAACTAGTATTTCAATAAGTGTTTAGATTGATATTTCTTTTCTTATAAATAAATTCAAGCTCTTATGTATAAGTCATTTATATTTCTTGTATTTTCACGAACTCTCTGTTCATATTACTTGCCTATTTTTCCACTGCTACTGTCTTTTTCTTATGCATTTGTTTACATTCTTCACATATTATGGAATTATCTCGTTTAGAGTGTGAGTTGAAAATATTTTTTCCAGTTTGTCATCTGTCTCTACTTTTGGTTTCTGCCATGTAGAATTTTTTTATGAGATTGAATTTTTTTGATCTTTTTTTGCTTCTTTCCAACTGAGTTTATCGATTGATCCTCTCAAAGTTTCTTCTACTGATTTATTCTTTACATTCAAATCTTTAATACAGATTAAATAATAAAGATTAAATCTTTAATCTTTAAGACTTATATGTGAAGTGTGAGATATGTATACAACTTTTTTTTTCTATATGGCTCTATGGTTGTCCCAACACTATTGAATTATCTATCTTTTCCCCTGATGATTTGATAAAACATCTTTTGATATGCCAATGAATTTCCAAATGTATGTACCTCACTTCAACTTCCATTTGGAAAGATATGAACTACACACATAACTGTAGTCTATGCTATTGTCACCATATAAAACTTCAGGCCAAATAAACGTCCTGAGTACTTCATTTTATTCTTTCTTTTTTTCGAGACAGAGTCTCACTATGTCGCCCTCGGTACAGTGCCGTGGCATAACAGTTCACAGCAATCTCAAATTCTTGGGCTTAAGCAATTCTCTTGCCTCAGCCTCCCAAGCAGCTGGGACTATAGGCATCCACCACAATGCCTGGCTATTTTTTATTGCAGTTGTCATTGTTGTTTAGCTGGCCCAGGCTGGGCTCAAAGCTGCCAGCAGTGGTGTATGTGGCAGGGGCTATAACCACTGTGCTATGGGCGCCGAGCCACTTCATTTTATTCTTAAAAGGTTTACTAGAAAGTTGCTTTCTGTAATCTATTCAGCAAATTTTAAAAAGAGTAATAAAACAGTAGCACATATTTATTGTGTGCTTACTGTAGGCCACATACCGTTCTAAGCTTTTCTCATATATTGACTCATTTGCATCTCTTAGGTAGTTACCATTATCATGCTGATTTATAGATGAGGAAATAAGACAAAACATAACTAACTTCACTAAGTTCACATAGTTTTAGTAAGTTACAGAGACTTAGGTAACCTAGCTCCAAGCTACTGTTCTTTAACTACTACTCTATGTTGATTATTCAAATTTACTCATTCCATAAGTATACATATCCTCTGCTAGTTCTAAAAAATTACCTGTATGTTTACAATAAATTAAAGTGTACATAAAACCATGCTTTGGTTTTCCTACCTTTGGTAATAACTAAGATAATTTTTCAGATTAGCTGTTTTTCCTTCCATCTTTATTTGTAGAACTTGGTGTGTTCTGAGTAATTAGTCTTTATATGGCAAAATCCCAGACTCTTTTTAAATCTTCACCAGTTTATAAAGACAATGCATTAATAGTTCGCCTTTTAAAAATTATTTACAAATGTAACTATAATTTCGATGTAACTTTTACATACTACTATGGTGTATACAATGTTAATATATATTTCATCCTCGTTTGGATTTTAAAGTTCATAAAATCAAACTCATTCTAAAGTTTTACTAACATATTACATTGTATCTGGTTACTGACCAGGTTATCCCTGCTGGTGTAATGGACCATCCACCCTTCCTTCACCATTGTGCTGCTCTTCCTCTTTGTATGCTTGATGGATTGCACAACTCTCATTAGTGGAATGTTATTGCTTGTTGATGGACTAAAAAATATTTAAAATTTATGATAAATATTTATAATTTTGATTCATAAAATCATATAAATACCATACTTTCACAATGTTTTCTTTTTAGAGATAATTAAGCTAAACTTTTTCAAAATACCTTAGGAGAAAACCCCAAGGCCTTTAGAAGAAGAAAATAAATAATTCCTATTATATAGATACATACTGATTATATTGTGAATCCTCATTATTTGGCATGAATGTTTCCTGAGGGGGGTGGGTGGATTACAAAAATACAAGAAAACAGTAAGCAGAGCAGAAAACATCCTTCTCAACTGGAAGATATAGAGTCTGAAAAAGCACCTTATTTGGTTTGCTGTTTAATTTTTCCTACCCAATGCAGCATGATAAATTAGCAAATTTACAAGACAAAATACAAGTCTACACTCAAATTTACGGGGCTCAAATGTCAATTCAGTCAATCATGATGTCAGCCAAAAGTACTTCTAGCAGAAGATATTTCAAGGAAAATGATTTACAGATATTAATAAAAAAGTAATGAATTAAATTAAGATAACAAAGTATAGCTGTAGAAAAAGAGCCTAAAATATGTTTCTCATCATGAAGTGCTCATGATTAGGAAATAAGCTATGTTCTATAATAATCTCGAAACTGGATAAACATGAAGTTTAGTTAATAATGGTAATGGTAATAATGGCTATAATTTAATGATAAACCAAACTAAATAAATCATGACTCGGCCATGTGAGACTGAAAAATTACCCATTTTCTTTAAATGGCTCTTTGTTGGCAATAAAAAAAAAAAAACTACCAAAATGATAACATTTTATGACAAAGTAGTAAATCCCATGAGATACAAAAATTGTATTTCTAGAAACAGTCCCACAGTGTTTTTACCAAGTTCTAACAGATTAACTGTGGCAGCATGAAAATTGCCCCCAGGTTCATTACAATCACGTTTGTACAACATTCTCAGTATATACTTTATTACTGTTTCTGCCATCTCTACCTGTGTGAAAAAGCAGTTGCTTTAACACTGCAGGCACTTTGTGGTGGCTGTTCTACATCTAGGTACACCCTATTTAAACTAAGTATTTTCCTTTATAAAAAAATAAGAACAAGAATTCTCAAACCTTCCCATCGTGAGTGGATGGCCAGGGTGATGTAGTTTATTTCAGAAATACTACATTGCATGTAAAAGAATTAACCACACTTTAATTAGAATTTAAACTACACTTAAGAGTCAAAGAGATGTAGCTTTTTCTTAATGAGATCCTGAACAGACTATGAATTGGGACATAGCTTGCAATACCTACATATGTGTTACCTGATTGTTTTAACAGCTTCTTCATCTCTTTCCACATCAAGATCAGATGGATCCAGGAAAAACATTTTATCTTCTGGGGGAGATGGCTCTTCTGTGTCATCTAAGCCCCGGCTACCCTCACTACTCAAGTCATTACTGTCAATGTCCATTGGTATATCAGTATCTGTTCCCAGACTGGAAGGTTCTGGCAAAGTTTTAAATGAGTTTCAAGAGTTTTATATTAATAAATTACCAATACATCTAAATAAGGCAGTCTATTAATTTTTTTAAAAAGTTTTAAAATTCATAAAATATAAAACTAGATCTTTGATCCAAAATAAAATATTTCTTAAAATATAAGGAAAGATCTTTGATTCAAGATAAAATATTTCTTAAGGAAGATATAAAACACACAAGTCATAAGGCACAAGGCTAATTAATTTGATTATATTAGAATTTTAAATTTCCATCCGACAAAAGATGCTATAAGGAAAATAAAAGATAAGTTACTACCATTTATATATATATTTTGAGACAGAGCTTCAAGCTGTTGCCCTGGGTAGAGTGCCGTGGCATCACAGCTCACAGCAACCTCCAACTCCCAGGCTTAAGCGATTCTCTTGCCTCAGCCTCCCAAGTAGCTGAGACTACAGGCACCTGCCACAATGCCTGGCCATTTTTTCTTTTTGGTTGCAGCTGTCATTATTGTTTGGCGGGCCAGGCTGGATTCGATCCTACCAGCTTAGGTGTATGTGGCTGGCGCCCTAGCCGCTTGAGCCACAGGCGCCAAGCCCACCATTATATATATTATGATCAACTGATTTTTGACATGCCAAGACAATTTGACGGGGAAAGAACAAATAGTCCTTTTAATAAATGGTGCTGGGACAACTGATCTCTGTATGCAAAATAATTAAGCTGTTCACCTTCCTTAAACCATGTAAAAATTAACTCAAAGCCAATCACAGACCTAAAATGTATAAGCTAAAACTATTAAGCTTGTCAGAGAAAACATAAAATAAATCTTCATGATGTGGGGTTAGGCAAAACATTTTTAATAAAACACCAAAAATATAAATGACAAAAGACAAACTAAACAAATTAGACTTCATCAAAACCACAGAATTCTGGTGGTGACTGTGGTTCAGTGAGTAGGGTGCTGGCCCCATATACTGAGGGTGGCGGGTTTGAACCCAGCCCCGGCCAAACTACAATAACAATAAAAAAAGTAAATAAATAAAAGTCTTAAAAAAAAACCCACAATTCTGTGCGGCAAACAATCTCTTAAAAAAGTGAAAAGACAGCCACAAATGGGAGAAAATATTTATAATCATAACTGAAAAAGAACTAATATGCTGAATTATCAACAACCTCTGCATATCTTTAACAACAAATAAATTTAAAAATGAATGATGCATCTGAAAAGGCAACTGACAGGGGAAACACCCCAAAATAACTAGTAAATTTGAAAGATGCCCAAATACTAGTAATCAGAGAAATGTATATTAACATAAACAGTATTTCATATCAATTTGTCAAAAGGCAGAAAAGTACAACAATATAAATAAACTATAAATTGAGAACTTTGGTCATTTAGAAAAATTGTATTAATTCAATTAAAAAAGAAAATCAATCAATGGTGTCAATGGTGTTAACCAATGCTATCATCTGAATGTTCATGTCCCTCTGCCCCAATTCATATGTTGAAATCCTAAATTCCAAGGTATGAATTAAGTGGTAGGGACTTTGGGAGGTAATGCGATCATGAGGGCTTAGTCCTTTATTAAATATGCCCAATGGAGCTCCTCTGCTCATTCCATCACATAAGGAGACAGGTAGAAGGCACCATCTATGAATCGGAAAAGGGACCCTCAGCAGACCTAGACTCTGTCGGTGCTTTTAACTTCCCAGGTTCCAGAATTGTAAGAAATAAATTTCTATTGTTCATAAGCTACACAGCCTTGTTAAAGGAAAATTATGCTGAAAGGTTAGAGTCCTTACTTTTTTTTTTTTTTTTTTTTAAGACAGTCTCAAGCGGGGTAGAGTGCTGGGGCATCATAGGTCATAGCAACCTCTAACTCTTGGGCTCGAGTGAACCTCTTGCCTCAGTTTTCCTATTTTTAGTAGAGACAGGGTCTTACTTTTGCTCAGGCTGGTCTGGAACTTGTGAGCTCAAGCTAGCCACCTACCTCAGCCTCCCAGAGTGATTACAGGTGTGAGCTATTGCACCCAGCCTAGTGTACTTCACTTCTTACTTCCAAAAAAGGTAGCTGCCCTGCTTAGTATTATCCAGAAAAGAGGTAAAAAAATGGCCTTGAAGGGAAAATATTTGAAAATGATTATTTAACAAAGAAACAATAAGGCAGGATGGTGTGTTCTAACAACTAAGAACTAAGGAGCTAGATCACATGGGTTCAAATTCCAGCTCTGCCACTTACTGGCTCTACCTCAGGAGCAACTAAGTCCTTTTATGTCTAAAGATGAAAGAGGATATACACTACCGCTGGTTACATTAGACTACAAAGTGGTAGGTGGCTAGAGGAAAGATGGAAAGACACAAATACTAATAAATGTAGACTGTCACTGATCTCTGTATTTTACTTGATTAGTGAATCAGACAAAAACCTAAAGAAACAAAGTGAACAAACTATGCAAATGTTATATAACTCTTGCAAAGAAGAATTGTGACCTTTTCTGATTTCACAGATATTAGGAAAGAATTTTACCTCCATTGAAAGTAACCTCTCCAAGGCAGTCTCTTGGTACTTTTGATGCACAGCGTTTATGGCAATTGAATTTGCAATCTAAAATAAAAATATTCAGTTTACTAATTTACATAAAAAATCAGGCAATATCAGAAATGGTTAGACTTTCTTTAAGTCACTCACAGATGGAATAGTGATAAAGATGATTTAAAATAATAAGCTTCTACAAGTCCTGTAACACCCACCTCCCTGGCCCCTGGACTCAGTTTCTTCATCTGTACAATGAGATTAGTACCATTTGTACAACTGTCAAAATGTGATGGCAGCTTCATGTTTCTTTTTCTTACATTCATCTTTTTACACTCCCCATAAAAGTTTCTCAAGCTGATTAAATTCCTATTCAACATATGTTGAATACTATCATATGTCAGACCCCATGATAGTATTAATGTTCACTGCTATGATTTAATAAAAAAAAAAAAGAAAGGAAAAAAAACCAACATATGTCAGATACATATTTTCAATTCCTAAGTATTAGGACTAGACACATATGCAGACAAGAGATTAGGATCCAACAAACATTTATCGGGAATTGAGTAAGGGCTTTCACATACAACCCTGTAAGGACTGAGCTCATGCATGAGGTTTCCCACTTTTCTTTCTTTTTTTTTTTTTTTTGAGACAGAACCTCAAGCTATAGCCCTGGGTAGAGAGCTCACAGCAAATTCAAACTCCTGGGCTTAAGTGATTCTCCTGCCTCAGCCTCCCAAGTAGCAGGGACTACAGGCGCCCGTCACAATGCCCAGCTATGTTTTTGGTTGTAGTTGTCACTGTTTGGCAGGCCTGGGCTGGATTCAAACCCGCCAGCTTTGGTGTATGTGGCTGGCGCCTTAGCTGCTTGAGCTACTGGCACCACCAAGGTTTCCCTCTTTTTTTTCTTTTTTGCAGTTTTTGGCCAGGGCTGGGTTTAAACCCGCCACCTCTGGCATATGGGGCCGGTGCCCTACTCCTTTGAGCTACAGGCACCTCCCCAAGGTTTCCCTCTTTTACATGATGGTTCTTTTCAGCTTACAAGAAACCTTAGAGTTGACATCACTGCAGATCAGTCTCAAATAGAATCTGTATAACTCAGTACTCTCAAACTGTAATCTCCAGACCAGCAGTTATTACTATAACATCACTGCACATCAATGTCAGGTACAACACCATATAAGGCAGTAGTTCTCAAACTGTGGTCCCCAGACCAGCAGTATCAACATCATTTGGCAACTTGTTAGAAATGCAAATTCTTGGGCTCTACCCCAGATTGACTATATCAGTAACTCTGGGAGTGGGGCTGAGAAAGTGTGTTTTAATGAGCTCTTCAAGTGAGAGCAAGATTGAGACCCACTGATGTAACTATACCTAGCATCACCTTTGAAATATATCTACCGGCAGTAACTGGATAAAAATAATTTTTTTCAGTCCTGACTTCGAAAGCTTTTGTAACCCTTGTGAGTCAAGGAAATCTTGAGTATCACGCTGACAGCACTGGTTGAAGGTCATTATAAGAAAAAGTCCTATGAAATTAATTATTTGGTAGATGATGATAAAATTTACATTATATAGCATTGTTCTTAAGACCTTAGGAAAAATTAATACGATATTAATATTTGTATCTCTCACACAATAGATTTGTTTCTTATCTCATGAACTTTAAAAGTTGTAAAAACAAGATTTCCATTTTCCCTTTGAAAATTTAAAGCCAAGTTTGTGGGGCACCTAACAGCAAGTATGTAAGTTCTCAAGGCAGACGTTTTAATTTCTCAATGTCCTTGCCCATGTTTTTATTAATTTGTTTATGTTTTTGTACATTTCACATATACTTTGAAGCTGCATTAAAGTTTAGATATAGTAAAGTATAAAATAGAAAGATAAATGAATGGATGAATGAATTCTTCAAACTGTATATTTCCTCTAATGGTTTACCTTAACTAAATCATTTTTTTCTTTCTTAGCTTGACAAATGAATGGAAATAAAAACTATCTAAGCATCTTAATTCAAACTATAAAAATACAGATTTCACTGAAATAAATTATGATTATTTTTTATTGATAACTGAAGTACCCTATCTATATAGAAATAAAACCTGCCATTTTCTGAATTAGTAAGTAACAGAACATTATTCTTCTAAAATCCTAAGAAGTTAAATAATCCAATGGCAGAATTAACAAGCTTTATTTAAAAATTCATTAACCTACACATTTACTATAGTTCCTCTAAAAAATATTGTACTTTTCTGCATAAAGTTTTAAAAACGTTTCTGTTCTATTTAACAGGGTGGCACTATTAACCACCTTTACTATGATTATCTGTTGACTATAATTTGTACATCTGTTACTAATGTTCTTTCCCAAAACATTTCTCAGTGGCTGCTTGCCAATATACTTTTGTGTTGATATTTTAAAGTATTGATTTATGTATTAATTCATATTCAAAGCAAGCTATTTAAATTAAATCCCAACATCTAAATACGCTTGCCTAATGGTTATTAAATATCTCACAATAAGTGGTCTCATATGCTATTATATATTGCCAAAAAAAGCTTTCTTATATACTTAAGTTAAATTTATATACAATTATCTTACCCTATGTTGCAAGTAAGAATTTACTGTTATAAAAGCCTCAACCTTAATGTTTTATTTAGATCACTTAATAATTCAATTCTACAAATAATTCTAGTATATCAAAAAGTATGGTACTAAGAATTGCTACATAAGTACATGGAAAAAAAAAGTACGTAAGATTATAGCTAGGCTACTTATCCTCATCTTGGTATAGGCATACTTTTACCTAATTAGATAATTAATAATCTAAGATATTTCAGTTGTCTATTTTAGTTTTCACTCTATTGTACATTGCTGAGAAAATATGAAACAAAAAAAAAAATCTTAAAAGCATTATATAAACAACAAGTTATTCCATTATTCTATTAAAAAACTTGGTTCATTAAGAAGTGTCTTGGGGCTCGGTGCCTGTGGCTCAAGTGGCTAAGGCACCTGCCACATACACCTAAGGTTGAGGGTTCAAGTCCA